AAATGTGAGGGATATCCAGAAACAGTAATTATTCCTTTTTCATCGTTAGAAGTATCAATATAAGAAATGTCCAAGCCTGTAGAAAATGTTTATGAGTTTATTTGAGCCCCAACTGACAATTGCTGGAAGCAAGATCTAAAATGCTCCAGAGAATAACAGTTTTGCAATTTCTTTTAAGCATTCAACATTAAGGGGGTCACTCCAAAGAGTCTAAAGATGTGATTTTGGGTGGGGAAGGTTGGGTCCAGAGTGATCAGCTCAATCTCTGGAATAGCTGGAGATTGAGATCAGCTACCCAGGCAGTTAACCAGGCCCACATGATGGAGCTCCATAAAATCTCTGGACACAATGGCTCATATGAGCTTTCTTGGTTGGCAATATGTTATGTGTATTGTCACATATTAATGCCAGGAAAGTAATGCTGTCCACAACTCCATGGGAGAGGACAACTGGAGGTTTTAGATTTCAAAATTCCCTGGCTTCCTTCTTCCATTTTTAAAGATCCTTTTGATTACATTGGGTTTATTCAGGATAATCTCCCTATTTTAAGGTCAGTTTATTAATGATCTTAATAGTACCTACAAGTTTAATTCCCCTTCGCCATATAATATAACGTATATTCAAGTTCTGAGGATTAAAATATGGACATCCTTGTGGGGCTATCAACATACCTACCATAGGCAAAAATACTTTCAGTCTTTCCCCATGTGTGTGCAAACATGTACCTATACAGATAAACAGTGGTTGACATTTTCATTTCTCTCTTACTCCCTTTCTTTCTTCTTCCCTCCTTCTCTTCCACCCTATTTCCCTTCTCCTTTCCCTTCCTTCCTAACAAAATTGAAATTTTGGGGTGCATAGTTAAAAGAGAGAGTCACCAAGGCCACCCTAATTTCTGACACCAATTCCAAGTTTGGGAGTCCTCAAGACAACCCTTAGGTTTGATAATTTTCTAGAAGGACTCATGTTATACTCATGGTTATTGTTTATTATAGCTAAAAGATACAGATTAAAACTAGCCAAGGGGAAAAGGTGCATAGGACAGAGTCCAGGAAAGCACCAAATGTAGAGTTTCCAGTTGTCCTCTCTCCAAGGAGTTGTGGACAGCATTACTTTCCTGGCATCAAGATGTGACAATACACATAAAACATTGCCAACCAGGGACACTATCATGAGCCATTATGTCCAGAGGTTTTATGGGGCTCCATCGTGTGGGCCTGGTTAACTGCCCGGGTAGCTGATCTCAATCTCCAGCTACTCCAGAGACTGAGCTGATCACTCTGGACCCAATTTTCCCCACCCGAAATCTTATCCCTCAAATAAGGATTTTCTCTCTCTTTTTAATTTATATCATAGTCCTTCTACACAATTGGAACTCTGCTGATAGGTCCAGCTATATTATAGAGTGAGAGAGTTTTAAAAATTGCATAAGTTAGCAAGAGCTACCAATTATAGATTGCTTACTCTATGCCTGCAAACTGTTATTCTCTGAGGCATGTATTTCGGTCTGTTGACTCAAATAAATTTTATAAAAATTCTTTACAGGTTTCTATGTTCTTGCATGGACTATGTATAAGTACTCCTACAAATAAGTAAGAATATAAGAAATTACCTGATTAATAATGAGCAAAAGACGCTTCACAAAACATATTTGAATAGCTTATAAGATATACTTTAAAAAAAATAGTAACTAGGGAAATGCATACCCATTAGAATACCTAAAGTAAAAAGATTGACAACTGCTGACAAGGATGTAGAATAATTGGAACTCTCAAACATTAGTAGTATTAGAATGTAAAAATGGTAACACTATTTTGAAAAACTGTTTGGCAATTTCTTATAAAGTTAAACACATACTTACCATATAACTCAAAAATTCTGCTACTAGATTGCTTGAGATTGTTCATAACAACTTTATTCAAAATAGTTAAAAACTGAATATAAATATCCACTATAAACAAAAGTCCACAGATATCTTTTTAAAAAAAATTTAAAGAGAGTTTATTCAGGTAATGATTTTTCCCTCAGAGTGAACTAAGACTACATTTCAAAATGGAGGAGTTATGGCAGGGTTTATAAAGGTAAAAGTTACAAGGCACAGTTGATCAAAGAGTTGCTAGAGAAAGAAAGATCATAAACTTACATCATTTGTGTTCGGCTTGGTGGGAGCAACTAGATTTTCAATGGTTGGCTGATTTAGTGAGGGAGCAAATGGAGTCGTGAGGTGAGAACGACGGGTAATATATGATTAAATATTTATAAAGTCCTAGTTTAATCTCAGGCCTGTGGAATGAAAAGGCTGTCTTTGATCACACTAGTACAAGGAGTATCATTTAAGAACAATGCAAGGACTACAATTTATCAATAGGACAAAGTTATGCTCTATGAGCAGCTTCAGAGCTCAAGAAACATCCAGATCTGTAGAGAGTTCTGGTAAATTTATTTGAGCCAAACCAGTGACATATGCCGGGGAGCAAGCTCTCAGATGCTCCCCAGAATATAAGTTTTGCAGCTTGTTTTATGCACTTGAAATTAAGGAGAGAGCATCGGAAAGATTACAAGGAGATGAGAAAAAAGCAAGATGAGGACTGGATTACAGGATAGTTAATAAGATTATGTGCTCTCTTGAGGGTTAATACCCGCTTCTGGTATTACTTCTGGTATTTCAAAGGTGTGTTAACCTAGATGCACAAGAACAATGGGCAGGGCTTACTAAAAAAGTTATAGACCTGGGGCTTGACTACCCACCATGACCTGCCCAGTTAGAAATTTATGATCAGATCACCCTTTGAGGTTACTCTCCATAGAACCTCTTTTTTCATTCACAGTATAAAAACAAAAACAAGAACAAAAAACTGGCCCATAAGTTATGAAATTAAAGTTCTTATAAGTTTTCACCACCAACTGGTGGATCAATAAATAATCTGTATTAGAGTCATATAGTAGAGTGATACACATGAGTGTGTTGTGGCCTGTATAGAATAGACCAAACCAAGTATGCTCTCAAAGGCTGTTTATTAGCCGGCGGCTGTCCTGTACAAAGGAGCAGCCCCAAAATGCCAAGATACAAGGTTTTTAAGCCCTAAATCCCATTCTTCATTCTATCTTAAACACAAAGGTCTATTTCTCTCTTATTTACTACCTGTCAACCCACTGGTCAGGTGTGCAAGCGGGGAGTACAGAAGCAGAAAGCTTGTTGTTAGAATGTTATGTTCCCATGGGTGATTGCCTATGTTCCCATGGGCAATAGCCAGTATTCTCATGGGCGATGACCAAACAGTAATTTTCAGCTTATATACAATTGATTGTTTTTCATGCCACGCAAGCAAGCAGGGTTACACAGGCTAAAATTGGCAGTTAGTGTATGAGCTCATTGTTACAAGTTTCATGATTAACAGAATGCGGTTAGGGGTTCCAGAAACTAGGCCTAAGGTATAGACTTCCTTTGTCCAGTTTCAGGTTTTAATTATCCTTTAACTTTTTTACATTTCAGCAGGCTGTCACAAGTGGATCTCAAACTATAATGTTTAATGGAAGAAGCTAGACACATACTGTGTGATTCTAATTAAATAAACTCCAAGAACTTGCAAACTAATTAATGGTTACATAAATTAAAACAATGTTTGCTGCTGGGAGGGCAGTTGACTGCAAAGAGATAACGGAACTTTCCGGGGTGATAGAAGTGTTCCATATCTTCATGGAGGTGGTAGTTGAACAGGTGCAAATGTGCTGGCTGGAAAATTACTGCTTGGCTATCGCCCATAGGAACATAGGCTATCATCCATGGGAACATAACATTCTAACAATAAGCTTTCTGCTTCTGTACCCCCGCTTGCACAACCGACCTGTGGGTTGACAGGTAGTGAATAGGAGAAAAATAGACCTTTGTGTTTAAGACAGAATGAGGAATGGGATTTAGGGCTTAAAAACCCTGTACCTCTACATTTCGGGGCTGCTTAATTTGGGGTCTGCGTACCCCTGGCAGACCCAGCTGGCTGAATAAAGAGCATGTTTCCTATAACTCACTGATTTCTGGTGGTCCATGTGTCTTCCGGGAGCTGGCGGCTACAACACAAACATTTGTCAAAATTCATTGAAATGTACATTTAAAATTTATGCATTTCGTTGTATATATAAATTACACATCAATTTTCAAAACGAATATGGAGAAACACATTAAGAAGGTCTTGAAATGGATGGTTAATTTTCATTCAATGACTGGAGCATCAGCAAGCATGATATGAAAATTAATTTATATTTTGTTATGGCTAAAATGTTCTTTCCTGGCTATTTTATCTTTTTAATTACACAAGCCCTGGCTAATATTAAGATTAGCTGACATTTGCTGAGAATACACTAATATGGAAACAGAGTTGAAGCATGAAAATCTGCCTGATAGATGAAAATTGTTTTAGAAAAGTATCTGATTAAAGATAATCCACAAGATAATTTGTTTAGCACACACAAAAAAAACAATAGATTGTTAGGGAACTTGGATTTTAATAATTCTAGCTCTGTCATCCTTTTAGCTTGGGCATTCTACAAAATTGATTACCACAACAGTTCATTCTACAAAATTGATTATCACAACAGTTCATGACTAGCACTGAGTGAACAGTGGATAAATGTTCTATAAATGAACTACTCTACCAGTTACGCACAAAGATGTTTTAGAGGATAATGGAGACCCTTAAATCAACTTGATGGACAAGTTTCCCCACTTGAAGGAATAAAGTGGTTCTGGGCACACCAGCCAGTGATTCTGCTCTGATCACACCAGTGGATCAGCCTTCCTCTTTGCCACCCTTTTCTACCCCTACCCCAACCAAATAGTATAGGTATTCAGAAACTGATAAATGTTATTTTTAGATTATTATAACTAAAAAATGGTAAGTATCATTATTCTAATTAAAAGTCAGTAATGATGCTTTCGTTCTTTTTTTCAAACCGTCATTGACAACCTGCTATGTGTCTGGCATTGTGCAAGGCACTGAGGTTACCGTAGTTGAGAAGACATGGTCCCTGTGGTCAGGAAAAGCATGGTTTCAACTCCTGGCTCCAGTTTGCTGACGGAGCTACAGAAGGACCGATGTTCAGCAGCTCACAGACATCAGGTTGACACAGGCAGCCGCAGAAACATTGCCCGCAGGCAGCAGGCTCCATTATGCAAAAGCTTTAGCCAGAGGAGGAAGCAACTCCCCCTCCAGCCGGGAGGTGGCGGCCTTGCAGCCGACAACACCTCAAGGTGACAGGCCCGAGTCTCCACTTGGGGGCGATCTCCGGCTCGCGGGCCGCCCTTCTGCACAGGCGGAACCACTAGCTGGGTCCCTGGTTTCCGGGGGTTTTGTAACTGGAGAGCACTGGGAGCTTCCTTTCGCTTCCGTGCGGGCGTCGGTGGTTTTTTTGCTGGGCCCCAGAGGGACCCTCTCAGTTGAACGCTTGAGGAGGAAAACAGTATCTTGCGGGCGTCTCTGCCCTTCTATTCTTGGAGCTCGGGTCTGACCACGAGCTGTGCGCGGGGCGCCCAAGGAAGACGGGGGCGATGGTACAGATGGAGACGCAACTGCAGAGCATTTTCGAGGAGGTGGTGGTGAGTGGAAGGGCCAGGGATCCAGAGCGACGGCTGGGCGAGGGGAAGACTCTGGGCAGCAGAATATGGAACCCCCCTCGGACACCCCTACTCCCCTTTGTTGTGACACCGCGTTTTTGTGCAGAGGTTTAGCAAGTCTCAAACTGCTGTCAAATTCCACAACATCTATTGTGACAGGCCAGACAGCTATTGTTAGTTTCCGTATGTAGGTGATTGAGATGACTCGCCCTGTGTTACATTGTAATATTTGCCCTGGGAACCCCTCTTTTTTTTTTTTTTTTTAATTCACATAGTTTTCTTTTGTTTTTTACAGAAAACGGAAATTATAGAAGAAGCTTTCCCTGGGTGAGTATATGCATGGGAGATTTTTGCGTTTTTACGTTGAGTGTATCTTTGTAAGATTTTAGTTAAATTTGTCTTGGAGGTTTATAAGATCCACTCTTCTGGTTACGTTGAATTAATTACCTTTTTAAAACTAGTAGCAAATAATGTGATTTTTATTTGTAGAATGTTTATGGACACCCCTGAAGATGAAAAAACAAAACTAATTAGCTGTTTGGGGGCCTTCAGACAGTTTTGGGGTGGTCTTTCTCAGGTGAGTAATGCATTTTTGATATATTCAGCTGATGATTTTTGACCGTCCCCTTTTTTTTTTTACATTTACTTTGATGTTGCTATTGAGGTCTTTCGAGAAAGGGAGAGATAAAATTGTCTTCATCTTTTGTCTATTCCCGTTTCGTTAGTTTCAATTCATATTCCAGTGGAGACCTTGTATTGGAAAGTCCAGTTGATGCACAGTGTGAGATGATTTTTAAATTCTCCCCATGTTGGATTATATAAAACCATTTTTATCCTATTCTGATTTAGTTGGTACACTTGGAAACAGCTGTTTTAGAGATTATAAAGAAATTTATGGATGATTAAAAATTTCATTTTCTCAACAAAGGAACTAACACTATTGATTTAGAGATACTATAATAAAGGTACTATAGTAAAAATACAAAATGCCACAATAAGGATAACGATTTTGTAATAAGAATATAAAATAATAAAAATGAGGAAAGGAGCAGTAAAACTTAGTAACAAAGAACAGTCATTAGAAAATGTATCCCTGAAAAAGACAAAATTTTGATCCTTAAAGAGTTTATGTGCCAGTAGTACATTCTCTTCTCATGGTTCATTATAAGTAGGAAAATGTTTGCGTTTGAGTGGATGATGGTAAGACTTGCTACTCACATATGGATCACATAGTGGCAATACATTCTTTTTTTTTCCTAAGTGTTTTAATTATGTTTTAATAGGTAATATATTCATATGGTTCAAAATGTGAAAGGTATAAAAAGGTAGACCCAATTAATAGTCTGCCTTTCATCTCTCTCAGCTCATTATCTGTTCTTTTTCCTTTTTGCACCCAAGATTCTCAGTTTATATTTCCTTCAAGAAAGTATTTTATGCATATAAAATTATTTTTATAGAATGGTCATACATTATGTACACTGTTCATTAGCACCTTGCTTTTTTTCTCTTTAATATAAATTCTACAGCAATCCCCTAAAAGTTAAAATTTCTGCCTGCCTTCCTTGCTTGTAGCATAATATTTATTTTACAGCTGTACTTTCCTTAATTAAACCAGTCTCCTACTGACTGACATTTAGATTGTTTCGTATCATTTCCATTTTAAACAATGCAAAACGAATAATATTATACATAGAACACAGGATGAATTCCTGGAAGTAGTATTGCTGGGTCAGAGCATATGTCTATTTGTAATTTTTATGGAAATTGCCTAATAGCTTTCTATAAGGGTCACCAGTTTATTCTCCCATTAGCAATGTATGACAGTACATATTCCTTATAGCCTCACAATAGAATGTTAATGGACTTTTTAATTTTGCCAATCTAAAACATGAGAAATTTATCTCGGTATAGTTTTATTTTGCATTTCCTGAGTGATGTTGAACATCTTTCCAAAATATTTAAAATTTTTAGTAATTTATTAAACATTTCATGAGTTAAGGTATGGCCCTTATCTTCAAAAAGATTTTAATGCGGGAGCCAGGAAGAAAACATATTTCTAAATCAACATTATATGTTCAACAATAGAAGTATGTATGAGGGACAGTGGTAGTGCAGAGGAATGGGACACAGGCTCTTTTGAGGATATCCTAGCAGACAGGCTTTGATATGGGCACTACATTTCAGTATCAGGTTTAAAGTTACAGAAATCTAGAAATTTGCTATGTCATTGGATTCATAATTGATTGGGCTCTTAGGGATTAGATTCATACTAAATTCCCATGAGACTGATGTACGAACATATGATGGATTTTTTTCCCCGTGGTGACAGGAATATTTATATCTACTTTCAAGGTTATTGTTCAGAGTGCCTTAAAAAAAATCTGTATTAGAGTTTTCTATTGACCATTAATATGATAATAAAATCTTATTCTTTTTGGCGGTCCCATGTAATAAAAGTGGTGGGAGTTTAATCTATATAATTGTAAGATTTTAAATTTAATATAACTAAAATACTAAATCCGAATTTTTTTCTTTTTTAATTGTCTCCATCTACGAATGTTTATAGTGGTATAATCTTGGTATACTCCCAAGTGTAGCATTAACAATTTAATTACGAGATATAACTTTAGACTTAATATATAATCATTTTCTGATTTTTCTAGGAATCTCATGAACAATGCATCCAGTGGATTGTTAAATTCATTCATGGCCAGCATAGTCCTAAAAGAATTTCTTTTCTTTATGACTGTTTAGCAATGGCAGTCGAGACTGGGCTTCTTCCACCCAGGTATGTTTAATGGTGGGCGTGAACAACCTGAAGAATTTTCTTTTTTATTACTGTTTGGTAATTGGTTGAGGTTGTTGTAAAAGGATAAGAAAATGAAGAAGGAAGTTAGGCTCAACAAGCAATTCTTCCTAATTCTTTAGGTTTTGGTTTCTAGGATACAGTATTATTAGAATTCTATATTTAAAGGCTCAAAAACAGGCAGGCTTTGCCTTGCAGGGGCTAAAATCACTCTGATGAGCTTGTTCCACTTAACTTTTGCTACATAAAGAATTACCTCAAAACTTTATTACTTAAAACAGTAATAATCATTTTATTTACATTCATGGTTATGGTGGTTGAGTGGGCTTAGCAGGCAGTTTTTTCTGAGAGTCTGGTGATTATAGTCAGATGGTGGCTAGGACTGGAGTCATGACAAAGGCTTTGCCTTCAATATGTCTGGTGATTGGTGCCTGGCTATCATCTGGGACCTCAGTTGGGGCTATTGGCTGGAACCTGCATGTGCCCTCTCCATGTGACATGACTTTCTCGTAGCCTGGTGGCATCCAAGAGCAAACATTCAGAAGAAGGCTAGGCAGAAGCTGTATCACTTTGCCTTGGAAGTCACACAGTGTTCCTTTTGCCATAGTCTTAGGCCTGTCCAGATTCAAGGAAAGAGAATGTAGACCCTCTTTCCACCTCTTCATGGGAGGAATATCGATGTCACATTTCAGAAGAGCATGAGGATCAAAAATCTTGTTGCAGCCATCTTGGGAAAATACAATCTCCAACAAGTTGATAGATGGTAAACATTTAACCATCTGTCTTTTGATTTCTGTCTAGAAAAACTATAACATAATCAATATTATTTAGTTCTTTGTGTTTATTCTTTCATACAAGCATAATATGTAAAATATTATACATAAATTTTTTAAAAGTTTGCTTGGGTAATAATGTACCTTTATGAAAAAATACTCACTAAAACAAATGTAATATCTAGAGTACACAGACCTTGGCTATTAGAAAACTTACAAAATTCTGTCTTATAACCGGAATGGGTATTCCTTTCTTCTAGGATGGTTTGTGAATCCCTGATAAATTCTGACACTCTCGAGTGGGAAAGAACACAACTTTGGGCCTTAACATTTAAACTGGTTCGGAAAATAATTGGGGGAGTGGATTACAAGGTATTTTTTTTTCCTAATCATAAAAAGTAATCACTTTCAGGCATGATTGACTTTTCAGTTGTATGTATCTTAATTTCAGATGAGAGAAATGAAGTGGAAGCATTTACAAAATCTATTTTTTGTTGTATTTCCTAAAGAGATTTAAAGTTACTCAATGTTTCCCACAGCTTCTCTACTCTCCCCCCAACATTCTTGAAAATGCAGTTGGCTAATATATTTTTATATGAATAGGGAAGTCACCAAGCAGACCTTGGATTTTTTCTTATGATGTTGGGGCCCCTTTTAAGCGAAAAAGCACGTTCAGAAGGGATATAGGCATGAAATCATGAAGGGAGCAAGTGCTGCTTCACCTCTACCTTGACCTTCCTTGGGCACGTGTCACTCCTTAACTAGTGTCTTCAGCATACTGCTCTTGACCAAAATCAACAGAATGTACTCTCTAATTGTGTCTCAATGCAGCTCAGTATTTCCACAGCTGCAAAAGCCATTCTGCTTCATTCAAGCCACTTTTGTTACTCTCCTTTTTGAAAGAATTGCCAGTACCTAATCTTGTGCTTTATGTCTGTATTTTCTCTAATCTAAAATAACTTAGTTGATAATTATT